CCCCCCTCTCTCTCTCTCCCACCCTCTCTCCCCCTCTCTCTCCCTCTCTCTCTCCCACTCCTCTCTCTATATCTCTCTCCATCTCTCTCTCTATTTCTCTCTCTCTCGATTATATAACTCTCTCTCTCTCCATCTCCACCTCTCTCTCTCTCTTTCCCTCCCCCTCAATCGCTCTCTCTCTCCCTCCATCTCTCTCTGTCTCTCTCCCTCCCCCTCCCTCTCTCTCTCCCCCTCTCTCTCCCTCTCTCTCTCCCCCTCTCTCTCCCTCTCTCTCTCCCCCTCTCTCTCCCTCTCTCTCTCCCCCTCTCTCTCCCTCTCTCTCTCCCCCTCTCTCTCCCTCTCTCTCTCCCCCTCTCTCTCCCTCTCTCTCTCCCCCTCTCTCTCCCTCTCTCTCTCCCCCTCTCTCTCCCTCTCTCTCTCCCCCTCTCTCTCCCTCCCCCCCCCTCTCTCTCTCTCTCTCTCTCCCCCCATCTCTCGACATTAGGGGTCCAGTAGATGCCGTTATGTCCCCTCTTTCCTCCATTGAAGCTGATCAAGTACAGAACATGCTTGATCAGCTTCATCCTTGGCCACAGTAGCCAGGGAATAGCAGCTCTGAACCCGGAAACAATAAGGAGCTTGTCGCTTCCAGCTTCATTTAGCAAAGGGACGATCGATGAACGGACGTTCACTGATTGTCTTCCGCTCAACCACACAACACCCACCATGCTGGCCACGGGCCCACAGGAGGGGCAATGGAACCTGGGTTAAATGGCAGGGGTAGTCTGTCAAGTGGTGGTCCATGGTAGTTGTTGGCTGGCATTATAGATGCCCAATGTTTGCTGCTGACTGTCCTCTGCCTGACCTGCTGACACCAACCATGCCAGTTCCAGGCACACAGGAGGGACAGTGGAGGCTGGGATAAATGGCAGGAGTAGTCCAGCAGGTGGCGGCACCTTGGTGGCCCATGGAAGTGATTGGGAGGCAGTACAGCTGCCCAAATCACTTCCAGTGTAAAGCTGACAGTCGACTTTATACATGTAAGCAAACTTCCGGCTTCTAAGTCTGCTTACAAGGCTATGCTGCCGCCGCCATATACCATGCGGTGACGGCAGTGAAAAGGTTAAATATGCCATCGAAAAGCCACATACCATGAAAACTAATGCAGCCACCACATCTAAGACTGATAAACTGCAACATATTACATTTCAGTTGTCAGGTATTAGATACGTTTTAACCTTTATTCTTATACAAGGTGACTTTTTAGTTTGACCTTTTTGAATTAGTAAGCAGGTCGCTTTATCAGATCTTCAGTACTTAAAGGAGAACTATGAGATGAGTGATTTCCACTCACCTCATAGTTCTAGCCGACCTGTGACAATGAGACTGTCACAGGTCGGCTCAGTAGATCGGGAAGTGAGAGAACACGTACCGGCGTTCGCTCAACTCTCGATCCTGTCACGGCTCTCTGCCGTGACAGGGGGAGGGGCTGGATTCCCCTCTCCCCGCTCCGATCTGACTGGCGGAACGGACGGGGGAGGGGGCAGGTACAGCTGGCTCTGCCTCTAGATAGGCAGAGCCAGCTGTCACTCAAGCAGCTGGGCGGATCCCGTCGTCTAAGTCGGGATCCGCTCCGGCTGCGGCGTCTCAGTATACCGCGAGATGTAGCTCGCGGTATACTGAGCTTAGGGTAACGGGAGGACGCTAGTTTGTGTCCTCCCGTTACCCTAAGGAGAACTATGGGGGAAAACACTGACCCCATAGTTCTCCTTTAAAATATAGTAAATCACAATACTTAACCGAGAGTCCGAGACTGATCTTACTAAAGGAATTGGGAATCTACATTCATACAGCTGTGTGGGGTTTTTCTTGTATGTTGCAATAATAACAAAAAAAAATCCACATGTTATGTTTCTAATTACAACAAGCTTGCCGCACATTGTCGTCGGCGCTTGTTGGAACATGTAACAGGCTTGTGCCATGATAATAGATCCCAGTGTGTGAAATGCGGAATTACACAATGTGGGTGCATATAATGACCTCAGATGCGACACGTGATCAGGGTTCCAGGAGGGGAATTGGGGTGGAGGATATAGTCCGGGGGCCCATATTTTGTCAAAGTTTTGGGGTTCACCCCTAAGGTCAAGGGTGGGCAACTCCGGCCCTTAAGCTGTTGTGGGAACTACAAGTCCTATGAAGCATTGCAAGACCGACAGCCACAGGCATGACTCCCAGAGGCATCTTTGGAATTCTAGGTGACGCACAGCTGGAGGGCCATAGTTGCCCACCCCTCCCTACGTTCCTTACGGTCAATTTATAAAGAGGGAGGTTTGCATGTATTAAGCTCTGACAGGCATGGGGAGGAGGACTTTTCCCAACTTATGGGGTATAAAAGTACAAGGAACGTATCATATTTAGGGAGTGTAAAACTTCAAGGACACCTAGAAAGACAGCTTTTGGGGTTGTATATATTGGGAAGTCCTATTCCTTGGGCAGATGAACATAGATATACAGTATACACATGTTCAAACTCTAACCTGTCTTGGTCTGTCTGCTGCAATAATTGGTAGGACCATTTCTCGGGCCTTGGGAAATCCCTCTACTCTTTGAATCCCCAAACATGTGCAGATGCTTTTCACACGATTGGTTAACCGAAGTGAATATTCACACCATTTTTGAGTGAATGTTCTCAACTCCTTTGGTACAATCATTACATATGTAAACTTGGCAAATAAAACAATGAAATGGTAGCACCGTCGGCGAGTGAAGTCTCAGAGATGTAACATTTTTTATGATTGATTTAGGACTTCAGACGGTGGGAATCTTTCGTATTGCCGGCTCAAAGAAAAGAGTGGAGCAGGTGAGTTTTAATACGGAATAGTCAATCATGCACATGAACAAATGAGGGGAAGTCATAATGATAATCTATTGTAGCCTTTCTCAACCTTTTTAACATGGAGGAACCCTTTAAATGACTTTCCTGTCTCAGGGAAGTTCTGCTAATAATGACTATATCTACAGTGCATGATATATTAGCGTGATGGTCACAGGAAAAATGCTCCTTCCATTGGTGGTCAATGAGAAGAATACTCCTTACATTGGCAGGCAGTGGGAACAATGCTCCTTACATTGGCGGGCAGGGGGAACAATGCTCCTTACATTGGTGGGCAGGGGGAAGAATCCTCTTTACATTGGTGGCCAGTGGGAAGAATGCTCCTTACATTGGTGGGCAGGGGGAAGAATGCTGCCTACATTAGTGATCAGGGAAGAACGCTCATTATATTAGTGGTCAGTTTGAAGAATGCTCCTTACATTGGTGGTCACTGGGAAGAACGCCCATCACATTGGTGGTCATTGAGAAGAATGCTGCTTACATCGGAGGTCAGTAAGAAGAACAATGTCCCTTACATTGGTGGTCAGTAAGAAGAAGAATGTCCCTTACATTGGTGGTCAGTATGGAGAAGAATGTCCCTTACATTGGTGGTCAGTATGGAGAAGAATGCCCCTTACATTGGTGGTCAGTAAGGAGAGGAACACCTACCTTACATATACTCTAGCTAAAAAGATCATTGTTATCAGTGGTTACATATCTGAGAGGCAGAAATTGCTCCTTGCTCAAGGAACCCCTAGCAACCTGTGGGTCCCATAAACCCTGGTTGAAAAAGGCTGAATCATTGTATTCTCCCAGCAAAAATGTCTTTAGTTTTGAACAGAGTAGGGAAGAGATAAAAGTGTACCTAAACCCAAGAACAAAGAAAGGGAGGGGTGGCTCTTTAGAGAACAAAATGTTTAAATGCTTGAACGCTGCTAAGTTGTTTTTTCTGTTCCAGTCATGGTGGAACAGAAAAGGGTCTTCACCAAATTGTTACCACAAGGTTGGAAGAGAACAATTGTCTACAATGTCTGTGTATGATGTAGAATTAACAGAACCCTTCCATGGAGACACCTGAACTCAATCATTTGGAGGGGTTCCAATTCATCCCAAAGGTGTTCAGTAGGGTTGAGGTCAGGGCTATGTGCAGGACACTCGAGTTCCTCCAAGTCAAGCTGGTCACACTATGTCTTTATGGAGCAGGCTTTGTACACAGGGGACAGTCATGGTGGAACAGAAAAGGGTCTTCACCAAACTGTGACCACAAGGTTGGAAGATCAAAATTGTCTCCAATGACTGATGTTGAATTACCAGAACCTTCACTGCAATCACCTGAACCTAAAGGGGTGTCTGTATCCTCTTGCCCATATAGGAAGCATTATGGTTAGGTGTCTACAACCCCTTGGCCATATATTGGATATAATAATGGGATTCTGAAATTCTGGGATGTGAATGTACTAAAGTTTTTTTTTCAAATGAAACAAGTTGATTTGTTTTAATTTTAGCTGCTTGTCCCTTACATTGGTGGTCAGTATGGAGAAGAATGCCCCTTACATTGGTGGTCAGTAAGGAGAGGAACACCTACCTTACATATACTCTAGCTAAAAAGATCATTGTTATCAGTGGTTACATATCTGAGAGGCAGAAATTGCTCCTTGCTCAAGGAACCCCTAGCAACCTGTGGGTCCCATAAACCCTGGTTGAAAAAGGCTGAATCATTGTATTCTCCCAGCAAAAATGTCTTTAGTTTTGAACAGAGTAGGGAAGAGATAAAAGTGTACCTAAACCCAAGAACAAAGAAAGGGAGGGGTGGCTCTTTAGAGAACAAAATGTTTAAATGCTTGAACGCTGCTAAGTTGTTTTTTCTGTTCCAGTCATGGTGGAACAGAAAAGGGTCTTCACCAAATTGTTACCACAAGGTTGGAAGAGAACAATTGTCTACAATGTCTGTGTATGATGTAGAATTAACAGAACCCTTCCATGGAGACACCTGAACTCAATCATTTGGAGGGGTTCCAATTCATCCCAAAGGTGTTCAGTAGGGTTGAGGTCAGGGCTATGTGCAGGACACTCGAGTTCCTCCAAGTCAAGCTGGTCACACTATGTCTTTATGGAGCAGGCTTTGTACACAGGGGACAGTCATGGTGGAACAGAAAAGGGTCTTCACCAAACTGTGACCACAAGGTTGGAAGATCAAAATTGTCTCCAATGACTGATGTTGAATTACCAGAACCTTCACTGCAATCACCTGAACCTAAAGGGGTGTCTGTATCCTCTTGCCCATATAGGAAGCATTATGGTTAGGTGTCTACAACCCCTTGGCCATATATTGGATATAATAATGGGATTCTGAAATTCTGGGATGTGAATGTACTAAAGTTTTTTTTTCAAATGAAACAAGTTGATTTGTTTTAATTTTAGCTGCGAGAAGAGTTTGCAAATTCTGGCGATGTGCTCCTCGGTGAAGACACATGCGTCCATGACATATCTGCGGTGCTTAAGGGGTTTCTGAGGGACCTACGAGAGCCTATTCTACCTCAGGAATTATATACAGCGTTCATAAAAGCTGCAGGTAAATGTATAATTCTCTTACATCCTTAGGCTGCACCCACATATTGGCTGGTCCCGCTTACCTGATTCCTGTTAGAGCATAACAAGCACATAATTGATGACATTATTTTCAGTAACTGGGCTCTGTCACTGCATATACAAAACAAAAACACAAGAGCTGGAGAGAAGGTGTTCTGTAGTCCCAACTCGCTTTCCAGGTCAATGGCGCTGCTCCTCCAAAGAGGATATGAAGCTCAGTAAGTGAGCATTGTCACCCAAGGACAGGCCTTAAGACTTAATATGCCTACCACTTCTCAGTGGGAATATAATATCCAAGCCACCATTACTGAGAGGAAAGTCCAAGCCAATGATCAGAAATGGGAGAGCATAAAAAATCCAATATTGCGGCTCAAAGCCTAATCCAAAGACAATAGCCAGACAGGCTAAGGTCAGGGCTGGCAGCAAGATCTGGACAATGGCAAAGCAGACAAGACAAATCACACCAACTCCGGACAAGAACCTTATCTATATGATAGACATTAATGGACTAGCTTTTTTTTTAAAGGAGTGGTAGCTATTGACCTACACATATTTAGGTATTTTAGGCATCTACTGTATAGGGGGTAAGTACAATGTATAGGGGGTAGGCAACCTTGGCACTCTAGCTGGGCTGAAATTTGAAATCTCATTGCAAGACTCTGACAGGCAGACATGACCCCCAGAGGCAGGGCTCAGATGGGATCTGTAAATTCGCCATAGTTGGAGTGCCGAGATTGCCTACCCACATACCTTTGACCATACATTAAAGGAGAACTATAGGGTTAAGTCTTTTCCCCATAGTTCTCTTTAGGGTAACAGGAGGACACAAACTAGCATCCTCCCGTCACCCAAAGCTCAGTATACCGCGAGCTACAGCTCGCGGTATACTGAGACGCCACAGCTGAAGCGGATCCCGACAATTATGTGTGGATCCGCCCAGCTGCGTGAGTGACAGCTGGCTCTGCCTATCTAGAGGCCAGCTGTACCCGTCCCCTCCCCGTCCGTTCCACCAGTCAGCGCTGGCGGATTGGAGCGGGGGGATCCAGCCCATCCCCTGTCACAGCAGAGAGCTGTGACAGGATCGAGAAGTGAGCGAACACCGATCTACTGAGCCGACCTGTGACAGTCTCATTGTCACAGGTCGGCTAGAACTATGAGGTGAGTGAAAAGCACTCACCTCATAGTTCTCCTTTAAATCATCTTGGTTTCTACACAGTACTCTATCCTGTACTGGTTCTCTTTGTTGTATAGGTGTTGATTTACTTTGTAATTCATCATTTTTGATGCGTTAGAAATAAAGATGATCAAATCGGAAAAGGAAAACGTTTCCCTTGATGCATTTAACCTTGAAATGTATTTCTTTGTGCAGGGTTGCACTCCGAGGAGAGATTAAAGACCCTTCAGCTACTAATCTTTGCCTTGCCCTCGTGTAATGCAGACACATTGCTTCGTGTCTTGAAGCTTCTCCATAAGGTATCTCTCCATGAGAAGGACACAGTCAGCCTTTCAGGAGACCAGGTAGGTGGGACTCTGTGCTTCATGAAAATATATGGATATCAATAGTCTCATCCTCCTCCATCATCATCATCTCCATCCTCCATCATCATCTCGGCCTTTTGGCTATTATAGTATCTGTTCTTATCAGTTGTTGGATGGGGTTCGGTCCACTGCTAGTTGCGTCAGGCCCTGAGTAACGGGTAGACCCTAGACAGTGGGAGGGCTCCTGAAGGCACTACCTTCTGATGTGAGCGGAGAACCACAAGGTGTGGCCGGAGGGTTGGGAGGCGGCAGAGCCGTGGTGTTGTGCCCCCTGGGGGGGCGTTCCAGGGGTGCTCAGAAAGTCACTTGGGTGTGGGACCTCACATGACTCACTGTGCACATGGATACACACAACATTGCATTTTCTGCACTTCGCCTCCGAGACAGGCCTTATGGCTAGTCCGGGGCAATATTTTTGCACTCCGGCCCCTAGGGCCTGTCAGCGTGGTGCACTGGCAATCGTTATCTATTTATTGCACCTCATGCGCGATTTTTGTAAATTTTGACCCACAGATTGCTTAGGGTGCAGGTTTCTTCGGGGCCTATTCCCAATGCTAGGGAGGAGGTTCTGTGCCCTAATATACGGTTCTCTGCCTCCTCCCAACCAGGGGGTATCTCTTCGGGAGAGCCCCCTACCTAGTACTGTGAGGGACCTGTTTCGGCAGGTGCCCAAAGGATCGGGGTCCACCGGCCTTCGGGTAGGTGGACCATAGTATCTCAACCCCTGTCACGAGCCTTGCGCCCCGGGGGGTCGGGAATTCGAGGTCCCTTCTTTATTGAAGGACCAAGCACCCTTGTGCACGTTTTTGTGTGCTGTGATTTCACGGTTCACTTTTTTTTGTTCACAGGGGGAAGTTGTTTTTCGATGCACGTTCCACGGGCTCTTAAAGAAAAAATCTGTTCTTATCAGTGGCAGGAGGGGAAAGGAGCCGCTGTACCGGCCTTTTGGCTAGTATGGCTGGATACCGAGTACCCTCCTGATTTGGATGGGGCTGCGCATGTCTGGCCAGGGGATGGGAAAGCATTAAGCCGGTGGTGGTAACGCCCCCTGCAGTGGTGACCCAGGGGGTGCTCTAGTAGCACTGTGGCTGTGGGACCCCACTGGTGTGAACAAACACTTTGGCACGACACCTTATGATTTTTGATGCACATCACCTCTTGGGCTAGGCCTTTTGGCTAAGACCAGGGGTCATTTTTATTACCGGGCCGCAAGGCCTAGCCATTGTATTCACATTGGCACTAAATTATTTGTCTCACTTGTATGTCCACCTTTCACTATTTTTTTGTGTTTTTCACTCCACAGGATGGAGGGTGCGGGTCTTCGGGCCTACGCTGAAGTCTAGGGGGAGGATGTGTGTCCCTCAGATTCCTTCCTCCCCTGAATAGGGGGTCTCCCTTCGAGGGAGCCCTCAACCGAGTACTTGGTGGTCGGCTTTGGCTGACCACAAGGAATGGGTCCGCTTGGTTTCGGCTAGGTGGACACGAGTGTCTTGACCCTGTCAGGAGCCTTGCGCCCCGGGGGTTCAGGGATGGGCCCTGTCTCTCCGGGAGACGGACCCTTTAGACAGCACCCTTGCTGTGCACTTTTTTGTGTGTCTTCACGTGCACTTTTTTGGTTCACTTTTTGGGTGTTTCGTAAGCACGCTCCATGGGCTTAAAAAAAAAAAATCAATATAGATTGGGTCATAATAACATAATTAATAACTTTTCTTCTTTTAGGACTATAAATAACTCCCGACCTAGCCTCGGTTGCAGCCATGAACTCAAACTTGGAGGGTGGTGGGGCTAATTCAGGGACAAGCAATGTGCAACAAGGACTGCTGGTGGCAAGGCATATTGCTATTAAGCTTTCTAAGCGTAAACTGATTTCAAGGTAACCTGTTGCCCACAGATTCCTGGAAATAAAATGTCCGCCGCCAACCTCGCAACTGTATTTGGTCCAAATCTACTGCAGAACGAGAAAGGTTTGGCGGATGAAAAGCAGAGCTTCCTGGACAGCGCAGCACAGATAACAGTGACCGGGTCCATGATACAGCATTATCAGACCTTGTACACGGTGAGTATACTGTAATAGCATAGGCCTTTCACAATGCGTGTAGAGCAGGGCCTCCAGCTGTGCTGTAACTACAAGTCCCAACATGCCTCTGCCTCTGGGACTCATGCCTGTATTGGTCAGTCTTGCCATGCCTCATGGGACTTGCAGTTCCACAACAGCTGGAGGGCCGGAGTTGTCCAGCCCTCCTGTACAGTCAGCACATGAATATATGCAAATAATATGCAAATTAAAGTGTATGTAATCCCTAACAATGAACTTCTCTTATTTCCTCCCTTTTGGTTCATTAAAATAAGTTTCTTATCTGTTCAATACAAGCAAAGAAATACCTGTTGATCCTGCCAGAAATCTGAAGAGCTGATAACTTCCTGTGCTCTCTGTCTGGGCTGTTCAATGTTCCCTCTGTGGACTAGAGAACAAGCACCCCTCGAAGTCATAAAGATGTTCTTTAGCCTTCCTGTCCTAGGGTGACAATGCCGTTCTTCTATAGATACAGTGCAGGGCGTGAGCGTTGTCACCCTAGGAAGGAAGTGTGTTACCGGCAGGATCACTAGGTGATAACAGGGAAAAATAATCTAATTAAAGAAAACTAGCGCAGCCACCTCTTCGAAGGACAGGAAGTGGCAACGTGTTACATTTTTTCTTCTTGAGTTTGGGTACATTTTTTAACCGTTCTTCCTCTGTTTTCAGGTCCCTCCCCATATGCATAGTGAATTAATGACACAGTTACTGCAGACGGATCCAGAAGTTGTAGATTATTTATTGCGGAGGAAATCCTCAAACTCTCAGTAAGTGGCAATATATAGATGAAATGAGGATATTCAAAAATAGGTTACAATATGTGAAGGTTCTGTAGTACATAATCATCTCTCTGTCTTACTGCGCCACCATGCAATCATGCCGCTACTTCAAAAGTCATGGCAATATAATTTTGATTGATCACATGCTGTTGGTTAGTTGAATTGGAATGCTGATCACAAGCCAGGTCTTCTTGTTCTTCATCAGCACCTGACCGTACAAATGTTCTGATGGCACTGTGGGTACAAATTCCCGTAGGCACACTGCAAAATGTTGCGGAAAGCCTTCAAAGAAGAGTGGAGTTATAGCTGCAAAGGGAGGCAAGCTGCATATTAATGGCCATGGTTTTGGGGGGTAGGTTTGTTGACCAGTTTGGTGTGGAAGAACTCGAGAGCCCTTCCCTCAACCCTACTGAACACCTTTTGGGATGAATTGGAACGCTGAGTGTGAGTCAGGTCTTCTCATCCAACATCAGTACCTGACCTGACAAATGGGCACAGATTCCCACAGAGACACTCGAAAATCTTGTGGAAAGCCTTCCCAGAAGAGTGGAGGGTGTTGTAGCCACAAACTGCATCTGTGCACTAAGCCAGCTCCATAAAGACATGGTTTGATGAGTTGTGTGTAGAAGGACTCAAGTAGTCTGAACAGAGCCCAGACCTCAACGTTAACGAACATCTTGGAATTAAATGAGAGCAAGTTCTTGTCATCCAACATCAGTACCTGACCTCACAAATGGGCACCAATTCCCACAGACACCCTCCAGAATCTTGTGGAAGGTCATCCTTGAAGAGTGAAGACTGCTATAGTCGCAAAGGGGAACCAACTCCCTTTTAATGGCCATGGTTGGGGAGGGACAACTCCATATTAATGGCCATGGCGGGAGAGAGCCAACTCCATATTAATGGCCATGGGGGGGGGAGAGAGCCAACTCCATATTAATGGCCATGGGGGGGGGAGAGAGCCAACTCCATATTAATGGCCATGGGGGGGTCCTCAACCCTACTGAACACCTTTTGGGATGAATTGGAACGCTGAGTGTGAGTCAGGTCTTCTCATCCAACATCAGTACCTGACCTGACAAATGGGCACAGATTCCCACAGAGACACTCGAAAATCTTGTGGAAAGCCTTCCCAGAAGAGTGGAGGGTGTTGTAGCCACAAACTGCATCTGTGCACTAAGCCAGCTCCATAAAGACATGGTTTGATGAGTTGTGTGTAGAAGGACTCAAGTAGTCTGAACAGAGCCCAGACCTCAACGTTAACGAACATCTTGGAATTAAATGAGAGCAAGTTCTTGTCATCCAACATCAGTACCTGACCTCACAAATGGGCACCAATTCCCACAGACACCCTCCAGAATCTTGTGGAAGGTCATCCTTGAAGAGTGAAGACTGCTATAGTCGCAAAGGGGAACCAACTCCATTTTAATGGCCATGGTTGGGGAGGGACAACTCCATATTAATGGCCATGGCGGGAGAGAGCCAACTCCATATTAATGGCCATGGGGGGGGGAGAGAGCCAACTCCATATTAATGGCCATGGGGGGGGGAGAGAGCCAACTCCATATTAATGGCCATGGGGGGAGAGAGCCAACTCCATATTAATGGCCATGTTTTTGGAATGGGATGTCCAACCAGCTCATATATGTGTGATGGCCAGGCTTCCACAAGCCTTTGGCCATATAGTGTACATTGGCAACTTCCACTTTCCAGTGCTTGTTTGCATCTGAATGAAGACGGTAAAGAAACTGTGCATTTAAAAGAGAACTATGGGCCAATAGTTTGGCCATAGTTCTCTGTAGGATCACAGGAGGACATATGCTATGTCCTCCTGTGACCCAAAACTCAGCATATAGCGGGGTTTTGCCCACTGTATGCTGACAGCACAGATCCACACTGCAGATGGGAAGGATCCCAACAATATTGTTGGGATCCACCCCACCACCTGATAAACAGCTAGCTCTGCCTGTCTAGCTACGCCCGCCAGCTTCAGTGTCACACATCGGCTCTAATTAACGTGAAGAGTGTATTTCACTTTTCCCATAACTCTCCTTTAACAGCAGCATGTCAAAGGGCCTCTTGGAGGCAGGGAGGCAGTGATATAAGGACAGTTGAAGGAATGGAACAATATTGAGTTTACTTCAAGGCACTGATGTGGTATAAACTAGAAAATTATCATTATTCAACATTGAGGTCTGGGTGAATGATGGGCGTTAGCAGGACCAGATTTCCCACAAGGCCACAGGCGGCCGGGACAGAGGGGCTGCAGGGGTGTGGAATCTAACCCCTCCCCACACCGTGTACCTCTCTCCTTGCTGGCCACCTCTCTCCGGAGATTTTCAGTAAGGAAAGCGTTGAGTGAAAAAAAAATAACAAACATTTAAAAAAATTTAAATTGATAAATAATAATTAAAGAAAAATGTAAAGAAATAAGTAAAAAAGAATAAGATTTTTAAAATTAGAAAATAAAAAGATGAGTAAAACA